AATAAAGATATTAAACAAAACTGGCCCCAGGACCGACCCTTGGGGCACTCCGCTTGAAACCAGCTGCCAACTAGACATGGAGCCATTGATCACTACCCGTTGAGCCCGACGATCTAGCCAGCTTTCTATCCACCTTACAGTCCATTCATCCAGGCCATACTTCTTTAACTTGGCGGCAAGAATACTGTGGGAGACCGTATCAAAAGCTTTGCTAAAGTCAAGGAATAACACAGCCACTGCTTCCCCTCATCCACAGAGCCAGTTATCTCATTTTAGCTGCCAACCAGTCACCTAGGGATTTAATTACTTCCAGTTCGGCCTTAGGTACATTTAGAAAAATGGAGGGTTTTCACTTAATTAAATGTGAAATCATGTGATGTAGTCAGTTCATCATCCCCTGTACTGTGGAATTGGATACATGATTCTCTTTATTTTACATTGCCCTAGAATGCCTCATGATCAACATGCCGCAGAGTTGTGTGTTCTGCCCTGTAGAGTTACTAGGAGAGACATCAGAGGTTGTGGCAGCCAGTTAGGAAGGTGTTTGGGCTGCTAGCACCTTGGTCAGTGTGGGAGGTAATTTGCAACTGTGGGATAAACAACCTAGTAGCTCAGTGTCGCTGATAAAACAATCCTCCCTGACATGCCGTTGAAATGGTCATTGTTCATTTTCAAAGATAGCACTGCATTAAGGTGAATGGGGGTGGTTCACACTGCTCAGCTCTATTGATTCCGTCTGTCTGCAGATTGGGGCGGATGTCACCACGTTTATGCTTGGTTCATGTTGCTAAGGTTGTCTTCACAATCGAAAGGGCTAGAAACATAGTTTTAAAAAAGAAATCTGAACTTCGATTCTGGAAAGATAATGCTGCACCTACGTTGGATTCTGTGGCAAGCTGCGAATCATGGAATATATGGGGCACTAACTAGCTGTTCTTAATACTATATTTCCTCTTCATATATTCTGGGCAAAATCCTAGAGCCCATAGAAGGAGATTCTGCTGGGAGTGCAGCAGCCAAGCTGGTGAATTTCCGTGGTGCAGTGATCCGTATTCCCTATGTAGGCAGAGGTCGTGCAGTGGCAGAACTGGAGGGTGAGGAGCAGCCCTTGTGAATCTGCCATTATGTGGCATAGACCCCAGCTGTACCTCTCACGAAAGGGGTACAGCAACCAAGGTGGTTACTGCTGACTGTGAAGCAGCTCCCTGGCCCCTCTGTGACCTTTGGGAGGGGACCCCTACGTACATACACACAGCTTCCACAAAGCCTCCCCAGCACACAGTAGGGTTGCCACCCTGGGTTTTACCCAGATGGGTCCTGTGGCTTCTGTATCCGGGTGCCATTTAGAGTTGCCAGGTGCCCGGTTTTTGAGTGGAAAGTCCTGTCAAAAGGGGGACCTGGTAGTGTCTGGTCAAATGTACTGACTGGACACCAAAAGCCTGGTTACTGTAGGGTAAGGGGAGGCATCAGGTCATTTCCCTACTCAACTGGGGCCACCTCCTACCTGCTGGGAGGCTCCTTGTCAGGCTGCAGCAGGTCCTGTCCCAGCCCCAGAGCAGAGGAAGCCCAGCTGGTGGAGGCGAGAGGTGGATAGGATCCAGCGAGTAATGGGGGGAGAGTAGCGAGTGATGGGGGTGGGGCCTTGGGGATAAAAGGTGGAGAAGGGGCAGAGTCTGAGGAAAGAGGCAGAGCGGGGGTGCGGCCTTAGGGGTCTGGTAATCAGCAATTAGAAAGGTGGCAACCCTAGCACACAGGCTATGAGCTGGGGAAGAGGACCAGTCCCTTTATAAACAGAAGCAAAGATTTGCTTACAGAGTAGAGGCGCTGCATTCCCAAATGCCTGTGTTTAATGCACAGTGAATGTCGAATACCTGAACAAGGGCAGCATCCCTACTTGCACCGTCAATCGCTGATGCGGCTTTTGCACCCAGTCGGCCACATGACACTCTGCCCTGCGTGGGGTAAAGTCTTCCACTCTCCTGACATTCCTCACGGGAGGGGGGTGTTATCAGTTTGGTTTCCTCTCCTGCTCATAGTGATAGAAAGAACATCCCCACATTTCCTCCACCCACTGAGAGCGCTAAAGGGATGACTGTGAAAGGTCAATGCAAATCTAGCTCTACACCCTTCCTTTCCAAGGAAATCACAAAAACAAATATTTCACAACCTAGGCCTGGTTTATTTTACAAATAATTACTCCTACACGAGATAACTCTGCTGGGTCAATGCTCTGGAATTTTGCATGTTTACAAATGGCATTATTCTTGAGCGCTCATTACACAACTCGTTTTATGATGTTGCCAAGAAGAAAAGAAAAATCCATCCAAGAAGCAACACGCTTCGATTTGTTTCTTATCATAGAATATCAGGGATCTCATCTAGTCCAAACCCCCTGCTCAAAGCAGGACCAATCCCCAGACAGATTTTTGCCCCAGATCCCTAAGTGGCCCCCTTAAGGATTGAACTCACAATGCTGGGTTTAGCAGACCAATGCTCAAACCACTGAGCTAGCCACACTCCACACCCCACTATCCAGAAAGATCTGAATAACAAGGGGAACTAGTTTTCTTTGCCGCATATAGAATATATAGCATATAATACATGCAGGCAGCATAGCCCCTCACAATTGAGCTCTGTGCCAATCCACACATAGAAATAGGCAACAGTTTCATCCTTGGCTTTTCTTTACACACTAAATAAGCTTTTCAAACTCAGCATCATGTTGTCCTTCTCAATCAATCCCTCCCCGACACCAGTAAAGCTATGAATGTATTCTGTTACCCAAGCCCATCATTTAAAACAGATACTAATATTAGCCCAAGTGGGAAAGAAGCTGATGCAGCCCATTAGCTGAGGCCCAAACCTCTGCAGCTGAAAGGAAAGGAAAGGAAAAACACTGATTTTGCATGGCACCCTGGAAGAGGCTGGGCATTGGCCTCTGCAAACTACCAGATGGCAAGTTCCGGAGCTTAGATCGCCCATTAAGAGTGACCTTCTATCTGCCTCCAAGAATGCCATCAGAGCTGCTTCTGTTC